AAAACTACCCCTCTATATACCTTTCTTCTCAACCACTGACCACCAGCCATAGGCCCATTACCACTCCACCTTTGCCAATTCTTAATTCGTAATTATTGATTTGATTTGAGATATTCTCCAACCACGCCAAATTAGACGGTAAACATCTCTTAGTTTATAGGAAAATTGTCTAAAACTCACCATGAGTTTTAAGTTTTTATTTTCCAAAATTCACCTTCTGTTAGTGCATATTAATGCTTCTTAACAAAGGTGTCCATGTCAGCATAAATAACATTTTTTATGACCAAATTACCCTTGAATGACAAGTTAGAGGAAAAATTGTCTTTTTCAATTTTCAATTTTCTTGTTTTTTTTTGCATTTTTAGTGTTTTGTTATAATTTCCTATGTTTTTTTTTTTAATTTTTGTGGTGAGTTTAAGAGAAATGCTGAAAACTCAGTGGTGAGTTTTAGACAATTTCCCTAGTTTATATATTAAATATTTTAATTTTTAATTTGAAAAAATCTATGGTACCTAAGGCTATGTTTGCTTTGAAGGAAAAGGTAAAAAAACCCATACAAGGTTTGTAAAAGTTTTCCTACCTTTTCCTATTTATTCCTTTAAACCAAACGCAGCCTAACAGATATAATATAGGAGGCCTTTGACCAATTAAATCACTAAGGTGAATTTTGATGAAAACCAGCTCTTTTATGATACAGTTGAATAGGAGGTGTAAGCATTTCCGATATCGTTTGTAACGGAGCGAAAACATATTTTTGCTGAGTTAAAGGCCCATATGCCAACACCGAAAAAAGGGCCCACATCGCCCACCGTCCAACTAAGACCATTCGGCCATAGAACTCAAACTGTTTAAATTTGATTATTATTATTATTATTACGTAGCTAATTCGTTCTTGACTCCTTGTTGACCCGGCCATAGAAATAAAACGATAGAACTATAGAAGTTCAACTGTTCAAGTAGGCAGGTAGCTAGACTCCTGATGATACTGCGACGGAAATCTCNGCAGATTCGGACCGTCCAGTCTCGGAGCAGAATTAAAGTAGGTCCTAACGACTCGATTAGGGACGGTCCAACCATCCAAGTTGCAAGCGGGGACCGACCCAGCGGCAGCGGTCCAGCCTTATTTTATACACCAACCCTTGGGCTCACCGATAAATAGGAAAATGAAGAATTTGTAGCAATGAGAAAGAGCTTATTGACGTATGCCATATCCCACGTGGAAATTTCTCTTTGTTTCTTTCCATTTCTTCTTTGTTATGTGTTATTATCATGTAGAAAGATTTGGAACAGTTTCTTTCTTTTCGTCGGAGACGGACTGCTTCAGAATATATTCCTACCTCCTTCTCGAATCTCCACAGACCATGCAAACTGGGCTTCTCCTTTCCTACTGCTGCTGTCATCAAACAAACAGCTAGAAAGAAGAAATTTTCTCCGTTTCAACTAATCTTTTATTATAAATAGTAATAGCTCCCTCGGTCGTCGACACTCGACACTTACTCTCTCCAAGTCTCGAGACACAAATGGATATGAGTTGATGTTGATCAAGTCTTCTTTCTGTTCTCTTTATGTTGCGCTCCAAGTCTCAGGAAATAACACGACTACTTCTTCACCCTATCAAAAGTTGACTCTCCGCCTTACGTCAATGGCTTTGCACCTTCCGGAAGATTCACCGATGGCCGAACCATATCCGACAATTCGACATAATATATAATAGGTAATTAAACCTGATCATCAATTGCCAGCTCCTTTTTTCTTTTCTTTTTCTGTCTTAATTGACAGTATAGTTCTTGACACACAAATTAATTAATAAATGGTTCGTGCTAGATATATAATTTCTTAATTTGTTTTGTGAATATGTGGAGCGAAGAAGTTTCCACCACCTTATGCTTCGGGAGCCTCCGGCATCTACCTTTACGTTGATTTAGGTTATATTTGAAAAACAAGAATTCGGAGAGAAAAATGAATCGAAGGCTAGAGACGAAAAGGTAAATTTTCATTTACTGCCGTGGGCTATAAATATGATTAATACATCCAAATGCCAGCTTGGCTAACCATTTTATGCAACTTGCTCAACTACGGTTGAGCTCAACTGTTTTCCTTTATTCTCTATTACCCCCGTCAAGTTGGGCAGGGGAAACAAGACCCAACTTGCCAACTAATAAAGTGAACTGTGCAACGCCTACAGGTTTAATTTAATAAATAAGTCAGCAGGTTGCTTCGCTGTGGGAATATAGAAAGTCTGAATGCGGTGCTGCTGAAGATGTTCGCGAACAAAGTGGCAATCAATATCCAGATGCTTAGTTTGTTTGTGGAAAACAGGAATTGATGCAATATGCAAAGCTGCCCGATTAGTTCTGTTTGTTCAACAAATTAAGCCTAATCTTAATAGGGTATCCTGTCTTGTCTCCTTCTCCAATAATAGACTAAAGAGGATGAAACCAAAAACCATGTTTTGTAACTAGACCTATTCATGTGCCGGGTAATTCAATGGTCTGACCGTTATTTTTCGGGTTTGGACAAAACTTCAGACCCGCAAATTTGAACTCAGGCTTTAAATACTAGACCCGATCATTTTTCAGGCCGGGCTTGAGCTTTCTCAAATAAGCCCGGCCTGATACTATTATATATAATAGAAAAACATTTATGCTATATATAATGTATATTTATTTCTTACATTATTAATAAATATTAATTTACTATTAGAAAATACAAATTAATTTATTAATATAATATTAATTTATAAAAATATACTGAAAATAAAACATTTTGTATACAGGTCAGACTTAGGGGCTTTATATATGGGTTTGGACTCAAAATCTAGGCATAATGGTCATGCCGGGTTCGGATCCGACCTACACATTTTCAAAGCCCGGCCCACCAACAGGTCTACTTGGAACAGCACTCCAACCACTAATTAATGTCAATTCATTTATTCTGTGACTCCTGTATTGTATTGTATGTGGGGGTTGACCTGAGGTTGGCACGTCATTCAATGATTCCAAATGCGGCTTCCCGAGGACAGGAAAGAAACTGCGTCTGAGTCAAACTGTCTGTTTGCCGGTGTAATTTACGATCGAGAACCACACAAACCAGTTGGCTGATAAAGTCAACTATATAATTCTTCTGACTGCCTTCCAAGTGCAATGCTTGAAGTTGAAGGTCATTTGAGATGTGTCACCATTTTAGTTTGCAAAGCTTAAATGCTCTACTCTCTCTTTTGTTTCTTACTTATTGCAGTTACGCTGTTGAGTCTGAGAGGGGTGGAAGTCAATGTACGTATAGATTGTATGTTTATTAATTAGAGGAAATTAAACATGATTATTGATTTCAGTCGAGGCGTTGTTTTAAGAATGAACAATGACTAATTTACAGTAGTCTGCATCTGTGTTTAATGTTTCTGAGACGTCTGAAACTGCTTGCACACAAGTCACCCGTAACCACTAAACAAGAAACTAATGTGATTTCATGTTTTTGCGCACCAGCTGACACAAGGAACCAAACATTGGAATTGGAAATGACTACTATTTATATATTTCAGTCAACCCACCCCACCAATTAAGGTTGGGAATTGGGATGCTGCTGCTAATTATTTATTTACACAAACGTTAGATTAGTCGTCTTGAAGCAAGTAAGGACAGTTGCAGTCGATCTTAATTACTTCCATTTCATGCTCTAATATATCATATCAGTTGGTTGTTTCACTTCATCAAGCCTTTCTTTCTGTATGATTACTACTATTAACATTTAACTTTGGGATCACGTTAAATATTTAAACCTCAACTGGTGATAAGCCACCGACAGTCCGACTGGTGCATGGGCTTAATCGAGAACACAAACATTACAGTAGCGCCACTACCACTCCTGTAGTATATATGTGTTGGACGTTGGGCCAATAGCATACATGATCATATAATACAAGGGACGGGCATATACATATACATACAATATGAACAAAACTAATTTAATTTATTGGACTCCTCCCATGCATCTTTGATACACAAAGGAGCTCATCAGAGTTGAGAACTGAAATTGTGAAAGAAGCACATGCATGCTTGAAAAGACAAAAGAATCCCACAACCGACGAGTTTGTGGATTATATTGTGGAACACATATATATATGGAATTTTTAAAAAAAAATCTTCAAATTAATATTCATTAGAAGGCTTTTTAGTTGACACAGACAGAAATCTATTATGTCTTCAATCATTTTTTATCACGTCTTCTCAACATGGGAGTGAGACTTAACGGCAATCAGACAGCGGTTTATGCTCGAAATCGAAGCCAAGGGGTTGTGAAGAACGAATGTGCGTAGTTCCACCATGGAAGGTACAGAAAAGGATTGTAGAAATAAATAGGAGCCCAGATTTGTAATGAGATCTTGGAGAGCCATGGCGTTGTGATTCATCGGTTGGTCAAAGTTGACTACTCGCCAGAACACAATACCGGATGAAGAACTCGCTACTGGTGCTCCCACTTCTATGGAGCCTCTAAGATTCCATGCGGGAGAAGAAAAGTTTAGAACCAGACATTAGATGAAATAAATAAAAAAAAAATATTTGTTTTTGGAGTCCACCACAGCACTGGCACTGGCGTTAAAGGGTAGACAGTAGACTCCTTTAATTTTGAAAATGGAGAATAGGAATGGCGTGGCACAACGTTGACCGAGATGTGAGCTCTCAACCAACAACTTTAATGAACGATGAATCCTATCTGCACCCAATATTCAAGTACGTGTCATGCTCTCTTACACGTTAAGTGTTAAAAGGGGTTGCGCATGTTTATGCTTTCTTCATGGCGAGTTGGTTGTCTCTAATAATCTCTATCACCCATTTTGCACACACCCGTCCCAAAAAATCACTTTTCTCTTTTTGTTTTCTTTAATGCCTACTACTGTGTAGATGCTCCGAACTGAAAGAGCTGCATTGCTGCTGCGTCAATGCGCGCGCGGGACTTATATATACGAGAGTAGATTGAGTGATAATACTGTATGTAAAACTCTCTCCCTCTCTCTCTCTCTCTCTCTCTCTCATGTATCCGGCGACACTGAAGCTTTCAACCTCCTTCGTTCGTGGAGTGTGAAATGGGTATAATGGTCGCGACTAGACCCGTGTTAACTTTAACAGGAAGGGTCATCAACAACGTTGTGAGCTTCATTGTCTTCTGTTTTCTTGACCTTTTTGATGTCATCCTCTGTATTGTTTACAAGGTTGTTGATTTCTTAATCGAAGCCGAATGGAAACCGTGTTACTGCTCCTCCGCCAAGGAAGCCATTATGAGAATCGCTACCTTCTTGCTCTCCGAACCCGGCGAGTCGAAAGTCGTTTGCCTTCGTTCCAATAAGTTACAGCTGGACGACGTCTCAGAAACCCTCTACTCGCGTCCGTCTTTGGTGTCGGAGGTCTCGAAATCCACTTTAAAGGAGCTAAAACGGCTGAAAGTGGAAGGAACGACGAGCCGGTCCTCCCACTCCGAGAGGATCAAGAACGGGACCCTGAGATCAACGTTCACGATTAACTCCACTATTATTGAGATGTTACAAGGCAAAATCGGAGGCCAACAATCGCATCCCATCCCTCGATGGTCTGATTGTCATTGCAGTACCTGCACTTCCTGGATTTCTTCCTGCAAAGAAACTCTATACGTCCGAGTCGAAGGACCTAAAGGTAATTAATGCAATACAGTCCGGATGAATTTGGTGGTTTTTTTTTTTTTTTTTTTTCATTTTTGGGTCTGAAGTCTGAACTGAAATAATAACATCAGGTAATAAGGCGCGAGAAGACGTATTGTTCATTCATGGCTTCATTTCATCTTCTGCATTTTGGACGGAAACGCTATTTCCGAACTTTTCTGGCGCTACGAATTCCTCATATCGGTTGATGGCGGTAGATCTGCTTGGATTCGGACGGAGTCCCAAGCCAACGGATTCCCTTTACACTCTGAGGGAGCACATAGAAATGATCGAACGTTCAGTATTGAACCCGTATAAAGTAAAGTCATTCCACATGGTGGCCCACTCACTGGGCTGCATCTTAGCCCTGGCCATCGCCGTTAAACATCCCGGAGCTGTCAAGTCCTTAACGTTAATTGCACCGGTAAGTTTTAAATATGTCATAATTAAGATTTAAGAGGCTTATTATTATATATATATCATTGATGATTAAGATTATATTTAAAAAAAAAAAACGAGGCATGCAGCCATATTTTCCGGTACCAAAGGGGGAACAAGCGAATCAGTACGTGCTGAGAAAGGTGGCGCCCCGGCGAGTATGGCCGTTGATAGCATTCGGTGCATCGATTGCTTGCTGGTACGAACATATAAGCCGGACCATTTGCCTGCTTATTTGCAAGAACCATCGCTTCTGGGAATGGCTCGCCAAAATCGTCACAAGAAACAGGTAAGAGGTAACCCAACCTTGAAAGTGAAACCCCACTTAATTACTTCCGTCGTGGCGGTCTTATTATTGATATTTTGTGACAAATTTTAACCTAGCTAATTGATAATTGACTGGATCTGGATGCCCATTAATAACAATAAAAATAATATACACTGCGAGGTTGCTGAATGAGAAGTGGATCGAGTTACAGAGGTGTCTGGTCAGTGAGCTAGAAGCCTGATCAAGTGTAGTTTTGAGTGAGATTGAAGACTGGTTTGATACTACGTGGAATTGCAGGTTGAGTCCAGTAGCTAGCTAGCTACCAAGGTATAGCTTGCAACTGGTCAGTGCGCGCGGTCACACGAATATTGGGTGAAACACCTTGGACCTTGATGGTAGGAGGTGGAAAGTACAACATGAAGAGATAGATCTTAGTAGGTTTTCAAGAAGCTTAATTGGAGATGATAAGCTAGGAAACAAATCGATTTTGTGTTTCTAGGAGATGAATTCTTGTTCATCTTTATGGTTGTATGAGGCGAGGGAAACATAGGGTGAGAGAGAGAGAGAGGAGCTGCTCCGTCTTCGGTTGGAAGATCCAAGACAAAGAAAAGAAAAAAGGAGAGGAAGGAGAGAAGAGGACTTATAGTTTAATCAAGCCTTAAGTTACATAAATAATTAAACCTCACAGTGAATTAATTAAAGGGATCTTACGAAGAAAAAAAAAAACAAGTCCAACTCTCATTTACAAGAGGTTGATCAGTCTCAGCACATACCATGCACATGGGACATAGCCATTCGGACCATAATATTGATCACTCGATTAAAGGGGTACGTCTTTAATGGAGCTTGATCCTAGGGTTCTTTTCTATTTTGATTGGCATTAAGTCTGTGGGCAAGCATCCTTCATCCAGGGCGTTCTCCACTATATATCCAACTTGTTGTGTTTAATTTCTTAATTTCTGTGTTTTTGTTAGAGAGGAATTGATCATGGGTCTGGCCTACTGCCTTTGATGAATTCTTAATCGATTATAATTAAAATGATTGGCTTAGTATATCTAGCTAGCTCCAACTTAATTAGAAAAGGTGTTCAGGAGAATAACCAAACTGATAAAACCGACCAAACCAATCAATCTGGTTGGTTTTTTGAAACTTTTGGTCGGTCATATTTTATAAAAGTCTAACACTTCTGGTTTTGGAATAGAAATAATGACTCCTTCCACTTTTAAGACTTTACACAATACTTTTTATAAATATAGACAGTTAGATTCGACTTTATTTATTACTTTTTTTATATTAGTCTTGAAGTTGGAGAAAATTGGACTCCCCTTCATTCATTACTTTTTTGTAATAGCCTTGAAGTTGAAGAAGCTTACACAAATGGGTTTGGGGGAGTTCAAATCAGTTCCCACAAAATTGCCCCCCACAGCACATCCCAGCCGTGTATTGGAAACATCTCCCGATTATGACATCATCATTTTTGATATTATCATCGGGAGATGTTCCACGGCAAGGATGTGTTATGGGACATTGGGGGGGACAATCCTGTGGGGGGTTGATTTGATCTCGATTTGGGGTTACTTTACTTAGCAGCCTATATGACTTAGAAAAAGATGATGTTTGACTCAATGAGTCAAATCAGCCAAAAAGAGCCATATACAAAATAGGTATAGGAGATTGAAAATCAATAAATCACCCTTTATGTTTGGGCCGGTTTTTCCTTATAACCGGTCGGTTTTGAGTTATTTGTTTATCAAACTGACCAGGTCGGTTCAGTTGAGCAAAAAACCTACACCCAACCCGTGAACACCCTAAACTTATTAGCAAAAAAAATATAAAATAATTAAATTGGATTCCCTAGTTTGATGTGCTTTTCTGTTCATCAACTTTATGTTTTAGGTTCTGTAATAGTTTGAATATAATATATATATATATATATATATATATATATATATATATATATATATATTCAATTCATTCCAAAAAAGAAAATAAATAAATAAATCCATGGCTGCAGGATGAGAACATTCATGTTGGATGGGTTCTGCTGCCACACCCATAACGCTGCATGGCATACTTTACACAATATCATTTGTGGTAGTGCCGGCAAGATTGATGAATATTTGGACGCCGTCCGGGATCAGTTAACGTGCCAAGTCACCATATTCCACGGCAAAGATGATGAACTTGTCTCTCTTCACTGTAGCTACGACATTAGAAAAAGGATTCCCCGAGCTGACGTTATGGTGATCGACAAGAAAGATCATATTACCATTGTTGTGGGAAGACAGAAGACTTTTGCTAGGGAACTTGAACAAATTTGGAAATATTCAAGTCGTTAATTTTCAAGTTAAAACTGCGTATCTGTATCCATATGATCATAACGAGTGAACTTGCCAATTTTTTAAGTCGTTGAAAGTCATTCAACACTTGCGTCACGTTAATTGGGCGGGTTACTTCCATGTATAACTTACATTCAAAACAAAGGCCCACAAATAATGACCGACTGGAATTAGAGTTTTACACTGATACACCTAAAACAACTGACAGCCTAAAAATGCTGCAATCTCCCTGATTGCCAGATTTTCAAATAAAAAATTAGACGTTGTAGTTTCATGAAAGCTGTTTTTTTTTGTTCTGTATAAGAAGATTTTATCAGCTTATGATTTGCCACCTCAATACCCACCACTTGAGATTCCACCTTTTACCACCGAAAACGTCCACGGTGTTACTGTTGGACGACCCACTCAAAAATAGCACTGAACCAATGAGGGGCCGAGTTCCTCCTGTTGAACCATGATGAGCTTAATTTCAACGGAAAAGTACGAACAGGCCCAATAAAGATTCCACCTTTTTTTCATTCATCTCTCTAATATATATATACCAATTATATAGAATCGGCCTGCATAAATGATGTTTCACCATCCCCATTTTGTTGAGAATATCTTTTGTCTTATTTAAAATTTAAATCTAAAAGACAAAAAAAAAGTGATGGCTCTATCCACAAGCAAATCCAAAAATAGCAGCAAACTTATCATAATGCATTATGATTTCTTTACAAAAAAGAATTCAAAAGCTTAAGATTTAGCCATACAGAAAAGCGCTCAACTGAGATAAAAATTGGTTCACATTATTTAAAAAGTGATGCTTAGCCAAAGAGATTACATATGGGTTGCATCAGTGTAATTGCTAGAGGAAGAGACAGTCGCATCACAAATGGACCCCCAAGCTTGTTATTGACCCAAGTTGGAATCTTGTAAATTTTATATCATTCAAACTACTGGTACACAGTTAGATTAAGGAGTTTAATGCGAAACAAATTTAGTGAACTGATAAAATACTCCCAATTGGGTGGGTTAGGTTAGGTTGGCATAAGGATCAAAATTTCTTCACGTATCGGCTGATACATATCATATCGGAGCCTTCCCGATACGCCCCTACAGGGAGTGTTTCGGATCGGCAAGTGGTTCAGATGGTAGACCAGCCTTAAACCGGTCCCTCTGGACCAGTTTCGAAAAAAATAAAAAAATAAAACACAAAAAAACAGTAGCGATACAGGCCGATACACCCTACCGGCACATCACCTATCGATATTTTGGACCTTGATTTGACGAATGGTGGAAAGACTTTCTATGAATGTGGAGGCAGAGAACCTGATCTGCCACCTACTCCCTTCTATTCAAAACTCAATTTGAAGAGCATATAAAAAGGGAACAAGAAAACTGAGAACAAGGGGAAAGGGGGTTCTAGAACGCTAAAGTCATAATCTTCAAATCAACCAGCTTGGACTTGAAAAGTGGAGTTTCTGTAATTGGTTAAAAGACTCGGAAGCAAGTATAATATATCATGTATGACCAACATGCATACTTTGTGACTGTATGTTCACTCTCTTGGTAATATAACATACAATCTAAGAAATTGAGAGAGGACTAAGAACATAAAATGGGTGTTCTTTTTTTGGATTTTGAGAGAGGGGAGAGTTGGTCAATGGGATTTTAGTTCCCATTGACCAAGAATCCCATGCTATTTTTTCATATTTATGTGGGGACCAGGGAAACTTTATTTTCTCGGGTAAGTGATACCCATCTCCTACGTGGGTAAATAACTTTCCCACCTAGGGGAAGTTGCCAACACTTGATGGGACAAAAATGCCCCTTTTAATAATGGATTTTTATGGCTACAATGGTCATTACCTTATTTACATGAGAAATTAAAGAACATGGGTAAATGCACTACCGGGTAAGTGTTACCCAGGTAACTGCATTTACCTGGGTAAGTAACTTACCGAAAAGCGAACAGGGCCAAAAAGAAAAAGCAAAAAGAAACAAAAATATTTTTTTCCAATGAAATTGAAAATTATAAAACCAAATCCATATCCCAATGGAAGAATTATATACCTTGATTAATTAACTTAAGGAAGATTTCCATCCACATTCCACATTCCACATTCTGTTGCATCTTCGCATTCATTCGAGATACAACCAATGTTGTTGCCAATATAGGTACCAGATATCGAAGTAAATCATTTTGGCAAAAAAAATGTCTTCGTGAAAACCACTCTAAATCCTGCCAAAAGAGGGAGGGGGAATTAATCATGATGCTGAACCAAAAGTAGAAAAAACATTTAAAGGTATGTCATGTACTACTGACAAGTTATAAGTTTTAATTCACCAACCAATATCAAATTTGAACCATAATTCCATCTAGAAAACAAACTCTGGAGATTATATATGGGTTAAAACAAGCGATCATCTCAGTGTACACGTACTGTGCTTGGGGACTGAGATTTTGTGAAGATCAAAGACTGATGTGCAGTCTCAGGGTACATAATTGGCTACATACTGTATTTTGATATTTTAGTAATAAAATGCACTCCTTACCAGCGAATCTGCTAGATCTGTTAAGATGCTGTAACCTGGTTGGTCTAAACATGAAGGGGAGGATGCATATGGGAGATCATACCCGTTGTGATTATTTGGAATGTTAATAGTCTCAAAGGAGTCTTTTTGACGGCTTCTTTTTTCTTTTTTTGTGAAGATCATAGACCGATGTACAGTCTCGGGGTACAGAATTGGCTACATACTGTATTTTGATATTTTAGTAATAAAATGCACTCCTTACCTTTAAAAGAAAGAAAAATAACTGGAACCCTCAGTCTTCTATCACAACTGCTAACACACTAGTTTAAGGAGTTAGCAGACAGAAGCTGGTTTGGCTAACTTACCCTTCTAAACAATTTGGTTGTAAGTCTAAGCTAGATAAGAATGGGCTGAGCAACACTGGGCTGGCTCTAAGATTTGAACAACAAAACATGTATTACTCTGCATATAAAATGCATACTCTCTTATAAGCTAATGATAAAAAACAGGAGCATATTGGGGACTGCCAATTGATGCCTGTGATATTCATGAAAATCTGATAGGTTAAATTTGTCGTTCTGGCAGCTAGAGACCTCTAGAGAAACTGAGACAGCACAAGCGAAGGGAGTTTGACATTGGGCAACCATGGATTATTTGGAGGTAATCCTAATTCATAAATTACTACCATTAAACAGGACAGAACAAATTTCCTTGAGTCATCTCAATATAACAAGATATGTGTTGAATTCAATTAAGAATTAGTTTTCTATGTTATCATTTTCTTTGTTTATACTAAGCTTTGTCAAGGAGACTTGACTTGTTTTAAACCCCTTACTAGAAAGTGTTTTATTTATGTTATTTGTGACCCGGCATTGAGTTTATTTTCCATCATATGCCCATTGTATGTGAATTATTTGACTTTCAATTCAAAGTTGATTATATCATTTTAGGCTTCTCCTGTGCATGTTGTATCAAACCAATGATCTAGAACGATTGGCAAATAGAGAAACAGAAAACAAAGTAACTCAAGAGCACACAAAGATTATGTGGACCTGTAGCCTACATCCAAGGGAGGAGAAGAAATCCACCATATCAAGAAATGGAATACAAAACTTGAGCAGCCTCCCACAAACCCTAGTGCCCAGTGCACTGTGCACCCGGAAAAAAAAAAAAAAAAAAAAACTCTCTCAATGTCTACTGTCTCACAAACCCTCGATGGGACCCATATTCGAAAATGGGTTGGGTGGAGCAAGTCCTCTGCATCCACCCTCAATGAATTTTCCCCTTCAAGTTCTTCTACACAAATGTCAAGTCAGGTCATGGAGCAGGGCACAAAAACAGGAATCTAAGGCACATCTTATAGTAGAAATGGTAAATTCTTTTGTTTTAGTTACATATATGATGGATATGAATTAAAAATAAGGTAACATCACTTTCTCATATATATTTAGCTTTTAGTATATCAATATTTAATTGTTTGGCAAGTTTGCAAAAATAAAAATAAATTTACATTCACAATTCAACTCATTTCAGCTTTCTCTACAATTTAAAGCATTGTTGCCAACTCCGGTGCTTGTGTCAAAATTTGGCAGCATTTCTTTTTGATGATAGGCACACAAACATTGTCAACAGAGATTGATGCTCTTGTAAGAATAGCCTTCTCTCCAAGACCCAAGGGGGAAGATTTGTATGGAGGTCCACTAGAGTAGCAATCCCTTAGTCTCTATGGGAAGAACACAATATAAGGGTGTCCAAAATATAGACAAGACTCAAGAAGAGATAGACTTTCGCACAGTTCAGGCATTGATGACATAATCAGGGCATGGACAAATATTTCAACTTCTTCAACTCATGGAAATACAACTCCCATCATGTCCACACCCCACCCAAAGGACATCTTAAAGCTAAAATTTTGATAGATGCTGCATGAGGAACCAAAGGCGAGGCATGCGCCTTTTTAAGTAAGGCGCATAAAATAAAAAAAAGGCTAAAAATTAAAAAATGCCAAATTTTCAAAAATAAAAATAAAAAAATATTAGGCATAATATTAATAAAAATATAAACTCAAATTTTAAAATAAATGTTTAAAAAAACCTATTATCTAAAATTAAAATACATAAATATAACATGTAAAGCATATTCAAATGAGAATTTAAAAATAAAATCAAAGATATAAAACCCACAATCTCTTTTTCTCTCAATTGCATTACTTCAAGTAGCTAATGTGATGTAAAACATATTACATTCCTAATTCTACAAGCTGCCTTTGTGCCACGCCCCTCGAGGCAAGCCCAAACAAGTCCACGTTAAGTCTTAGATTCTTAGTTCTCACACAAAAAAAAATAATGATTTTATAGTTTTAATTGCTTTCTAAGAAGATATTTTATTAGGATTAATGAATGAACAACATTACCAAAAGGCGCACGCCTGGTAATGAATGAACAACATTACCAGCCGCTAGACACAAAAAAAAGCAAAAAAGCGTCAAATTTTCAAAAAGGCACATGCTTGGGCTGAGGCGCAAGACGTACTAGGCACACGCCTAGGCACACTAGGCGTACGCCTTTTGAAAGGGTTGTGCCTAAGACCTGGGCGAGGCGTCTACCCTATAATACACCTCGCTTTTGCGCCTAGGCGCGCCTTTTAAATCATTGGTCGATTGTCCACAATTGATAGGAATGCTATCCTCTAGCATGTTATCAAGTATGGGTCCTACTCTAATTAGACCACCAGCTATCCCCACTGGCCGCACTCATCTCTCTCACTACAACAACATCACAATTATCAAGCAGACTTCAACCTCAACTGCTATTATTGACCAAAAACATGGCATAAATGAACAATAACGAGAACTACAACTTTTTTTAAACAGTAATGCACATATAAAATGGGATAAAACCTAAGACCAGATTCGAGCACAAAAATTCAAGCCCAACCCAAGCAACAACTCCTGCTGGTCAGGTTAGGCACAGGTGGGGCCAGCCCAACTTGTAGCCCTACTTATAAGGTAAATTACAAGGACCCTCCCTATACAATGGGGTTAGTGACAAAGACCCCCTTATACTTTTTTTGCGACAAAGACCCCTTTGAACTTTGACCATTAGACAAAGACCCCCTTCGCTTAGCATTCCGTCAGTTATCAGCGGAAAAAACTCATTTCATTGTTACAAGAGTTTTAAATCCCCAAACTGCCCTTTTGATAATTAAATCCCACTGATGCGATTGAAAATGCCATCTCTGCCTACATTCTGCCATAAGAGCAATGCGGGGAGGCTTTCTTCGCCATTACAAATTGCATCAAATGGTGAAGATTAAGGTTCATGAGTTCCAAACGAAATCGAAAACTGAGCTTCTGAACCAGCTCAGATTGCTCAAGGCTGAGCTTGCATTGCTCCGAGTGGCTAAACGTTAAGGTTTTTAGGTTGTCCATTGCTCCGAGTGGCTAAACGTTAAGGTTTTTAGGTTGTCCATTGCTCCGAGTGGCTAAACGTTAAGGTTTTTAGGTTGTCCATTGCTCGTGTGCTTACCGTTATTTCCAAGAAGCACAAAGCTGCATTAAGAGAAGCATACAAGAAGAAGTATGTGACATTAGATCTCCGGTCAAAGAAGACTCGAGCAATCAGGCACTGTCTCATAGCTTTATTGAAGACCGAGAGGGAGATGTATTATCCAATGAGGAAGTATGTCATCAAGGTCTAATATGGACATTGAACCGATGGTAGGCAATGGTGTTGTTTGGGTAATTGCATTTTTGTTTGCTTTTTGGTTTTAGCACTTGTGTAACCATCTAGGATGTCTTGTGAGTTCCTATTTCCTATTTTGTGGCTAGACGAGTATTGAAGTTGAAACAAGGAACCCAGGGGTTGTGTTCTTGGGTAGAAAATTTTATGCTACATTTTATAAAGTTATTTCAGTTTGATAAAAAAAAATGTCATCTTTGCCTGAACCTTTAGAGCTTCAACTGTCATAGCCTCAATCTTTTGCATTGAAAATGCTAGAATCTCATCCACAGTCACTAGCTCCTCATTCATATTCCAAATCCCTGTTGCAATTCTCTCTTTATTCCTCCCATGGATGATTGCTGAAGCAATGTCTTGAAAAGCTACCTGTTCTGCAGTTTTACCAATCAATTCATCCATTTGCATTGAAGATAAGATTTCAGAGCTTGGTTCTTCAACACCAATGGTTGCCATCCTCTGAAAGAACTCAAACCCACTCAAGGATTTTTGTGAGGGAAGAATCATTGGTTTTGAGATCTGCCTTGCAAGTTTTGGGGTTTCTTTTCTTGACACTTAAATGTCTAGAGGGTTCACGGCAGCCAAGTAACCACTGTCTCTTGTTTGAACCACAGAACCCAGGCCCTTTCCAAGATCATGCAAGAAACCTAGGATTCAGCCTGACTATCTTCTTCAGCTCCCCCTAATTTGAAATGTGGAATATCAGATTGATCAAGTTGAAACTCCTTATCCTCTTCGTCCTCAAGCATCTGAAGAAATTCCCTTGTCACTGTTTCTTCTTCTGCATCTAATCTTTGTGATTCAGTTTCATCCTCTGCTATAACATTGTCATCTCCCATCATAGATTCAAGAGCTTTGATTTTCTGGGCAGTGGAATCAAGTTCCGTTCATCTTCTTAGATGAACATCTCGTCTAGATGTTCACTTCCGCCAATGCAAGATAGAGAAGGCACAACGTACCCGCAAGTACAGATGAATGGTTTCTTTCCTTTTTATCTCACTGGTTACAAATTCAGAGAGTGGTTTCTCTTTTTTAGGGAAACAATTGGACAATGGGAATAGGAATTGTAAGCAGAATTGAGGTGTTGGGTCCACTAATCTGAACTTAACTATCTATGTTAAACGGTCAGATTGTCAATAGGGTTCTGTCTACATGTCATGTTACTTCACCCAGCAATACATCGAGTATGACCAATAATACCATTACCTGGTAGGAACCTTGTGTCCTTGTCACGACCCATAAGAGAAGTGATGGAAAGGTTGGAGCCTCATCACGACTGTCGTTCTTCCATTGCCGGAAAACCAATGGCAGCTCCGATAAATCCTGTTTGTCATCATTTTCCACCCTTTGCACAGACCAGTTTCATGGGTTAGCTTGTGGTTGACCCGTGGTAAGCAACAGCCAATCCAACGATGAGGAGGATGACCACTATTACAGAAGTTATCTTCTAACTTTAGCTAAGAAAACATTTTCCAACAAAAGAAGAGAGGGACTGTGGGGAGAAAAGAAAAGAAAGAAAAAAACAAAAAAAAAGAAGAGTAAAATGTGGATTTGATGCATGAAGGTATGCTTAAGAGAAAAGGGCAATAAAAAGAAAATAAAGAAAGTTCAAATGGGTATTTTGGTAATTTAACACATTCCATTGACTTAACTAGGGGGTCTTTGTCTAATAGCCAAGGTTCAGGGGGGGTCTGTCAAAAAAAAAGTGCAGGGGGATCTTTGTCACTGACCCCATAGCATAGTTTTCAAGGCACCAAGGTGAGGCTTAGTGACAGGAGGCGCCTTGTCGCCTAGGTGGGCGATTTTTTGAAGTAAAAATCACATATCCTAGGGTAGTTCCCTAGGTTCCATAACCAACTTTCTTTAATATCTATCCATAATTTTCATAAGAAAATTATAAACTTCATGTTTAAGTCTAGAAAATCAACATATTTATGAGAAGAAAAAGAAGGAAAGAATATCAAAAAATATAGGGGCTGAACCCCTATTTTTGATATAGAAAAAGAAGAAAAGAAAAGGTGGAAGAAGAAGAAGAAGAAGATGTGGAAGAAGAAATGTGTGGACTAGACAAAATTTTAAGTTCTTCCCTTACTTGATGGTTCAGATTTTGAAGTCATTGAGGGTTCAATACAGCAGTTAGCAATGTTTGTGTTGATTAAACCCTAACAAATAAGAAAATAATAAAAAGAAATTAGTTTATAAACACAATAAATGAATACTTTTCTTTAATAATGTCTATTTTATAATTATAATCTCAAAAAAAATAACAATATAAAAGAATTTTATTACACAGTATGCAAAACTGCTTAGCGACTGGGCGAGGCGAGCCTCCAAGGGCACCTTGTTGCCTAGGCGCCAGCATAGGCGTTGCCTTGACAACTATGCCCCATAGGCCATAGTACAAGGGGGGTCTTTGTAATTTACCCTTAAAAGTATTGAACAATGAAACTACAAAATAAAAGAACAGTATGTATTTCCTGGAGTCTCCATAAAGATAACTGCAGCATTTGACTATCAACAATAATCAAGAATCAAATGGCAGATTCAAAAAACATGGTTCGACTTATCAACAATAATTAAGAATCAAATGGCAGATTCAAAAAACATGGGAGTTGGGCAGCATAGTAACACATCCACCAAAACAAAGGCAAAAACATAGACTGCAATAGTAAATACTAGAGGTCATCATGCAAAAATTTAATGGAAAACAAATTGCAGAGAAACGGTGAACATACTATCTTCTAGATGTTGAGGCAGCTCCAGAGGTCCTGTCAAAGGAATACAAAGTTACTTAAGATTCCTTATATGCAAATTTAAAAGGAATTGCAGTATAAACCCAAGACATTGAAGACTCAGGTTGCAAACATTGAGATCATATGAAAAATCACCAAATACCTTGCCTGCTGCTTCCCTCCAAAATACATGCCATGTCTCCCATTACTTGACACTTTGCTTTGAATAGCACCCAAAACTGTTTTATCAGGATTTGATCCATTTCCAACTGACATATTTACAGAAGAATTGCCATGTATAACTTCAGATTGCAAACCATTTGATTCAGACACATCTCTAGGTTTGCTCAATACTGTTACATTTGAGAGACCTTGAACAATGTCAAGAGATACACCATTCAGATGTTGATTCTCCACAACTGGAAATTGTGAAGATTTATTAGATACATCTGTACGAGTGGTATTAGAATGTTCTGTTGAAACACTTATCACAGATTTGGTATCAATTGAAGGAGCTTTCTTAAGGCGATTAGACTGTGCCATAGGAGTAACAGCAACAGATGGCATTAATGATGAATAAGGGGCAGATGCTGCAGCAGCAACTTTTGCAACTGCTGCTGTTGCTGAGATAATTTCCTGTGCTCCTTCACGAAGCTGAATAAAGTCCCCTTGAATCACAAATAACTGAAAGTACAATGTCAGATTCCAATGCAATAAAGATTACATAAAAAAGTACTGGATGCTACACAAAGACTTACTTCAGGATGACCAGCCACAAAGTCATCAAGTTTTCCATATTTTTTCTTATAATCATGCCAATGAAGAGGTGCAAGCATTTTCCCCAGTCTATTAGGGAGCTGTGCTCAACGAAGATAAAAGTCCTGATTAAACTCTGAAATAAATAAGATTTCATAGCAAAAAATAAATGTAATGCCAACATTTGTGAATTAAGTCAATTAACTTACAGTTGAACTAATTCTGATTCTGCCACCAGAACCAGCTGGAATGGCACGAACAATGCAAGCCAATAGGGATCTTTCATCCAGCAGAGTATGCTCTGGTACCTTTGCAGGTGTCAATAAATTTGTAGTCTGCCCAGCTGAAGTGGAACCTTCAACCACACCACTGACAGTGCAATTCAAGGCTTCACTGGAATCAACTGGATAGGTAGGTATATCAGATACCGATGCTTTCACAAGGTTCCATGGTTGTTCAATTGACAGACTCTGCCCTTCTTTTGGATGGTTAACTGATGAGACAATGCTCTCATCTTGTCCCTGCAAAGACCAGATTAGCTTAAAATTTATGGATCTCGAAGAATTCAGATGGACCCTCTTTGAACCAACCCTATAAAAACAAGCAAACCTTTTCTCATTTCTGTTTTGTCTTTATCTTTCTTTTTTTTTTTCAGGGTGGTGGGTGGTGGGTGGTTGTACATGGGAGTGAAACAAAACATAATTCAGGTATTCTGCACCAGCAAATTACAAACCTTGACCTGACTTTTTTCTTCATGATGATTCAATCTCAATGAGTCATGAATTTGAGAAGAGCCATCTTGAAGGTTCTGATGTGGTTGTCGGGAAACCAAATACCCTCTATCATTTGACTCAACAACCTGATACACAAAAGGATTCATGGGTCATGTCATTCACTAAGAATAGGAATTCATAATATGTAAAGAATGCAGTAATTGTATCACCTGCTCTTCTTCAGTGGGTGTATTAACTAAAGAACCAGGCTCCCGATTTTGGCTGATGTGAGCATCCAGATAATCTGGAGGAAGAACCTGCCCGTCTGTAGAAAGCTCATAGTCATAATGTCCATCAGACCTCAAAAGGTTCTGATCGGTTTCGGAAGGTTGATGTTGATTTTGATTTGATACTTGTGAACCCTCTGATACAGTCTAAAGAAAGAGAGGGAAAAAACAAGTAATTAGAAAACTGTCAACATTGCATATAGCATTCCTTCTGGGTCTGCACCTATTATCACCTGCTGATTTTGCCAATGCTGCTGGGATGAAATTGCAGTGATTGGCTGAAAATGGCCCACTTGAGACTGAGGAACATGTGAACTGACTGCTGACATGGAGTGTGGTACACCTTGTTGATGCATAACAAAAGGATGAAGAGCAGTCACTTGTCCAGGTGGAAAGTAAGCACCCATGCCAATCATGGATGATTGAACAACTGGAACTCCAGGGGCATGATCAGTCTAATAAAAACACAAAATTACAACATTAATCAAAACATACAAATAAAAAAATAAAACCTCTGAACAAAAAGTTCTTACATGTTAAAGAGCATCAACCATGTCACTGAATACAATAGCATCCATCAATCTTAAATCCCATAACATCAAACGTAATTTATATAAAACAAGAAACAACAGCCAATAATAGGAAAAAAAACATGGATCCATTTTCTTTATATTGATAACAAGAACATGGATGATAATGGTTGAGTGACAGCTAACTCAAATTAAAAGGTTACACATAGCAACAATGTTTTCAAACCACCGTTGACCCAAACGGTCAGACCGTTTGAACCGGAAACCAGTCACTCTACCGGTTCTGTTCTTACCCTGAACCAGTACTTAGTCAAAAACCATTGAATAGAGGTAGAATCTGTTTTAAGTTTAAATGGCGGACAAACCTCTGCAGCAATGCCAACAACCAGAGGTGGAATCTCATTTTTTGTCTTCTTAAGTTTTAACGGCGGCAACCACCTGAATTTACTTTTCGAAACAACCACCGATGACCACAATTTGCAGCAGCTACCGGTGACCACAATGGAAGGGATTGCAGTGCCAATAGCAGGTAATCATTTGATTTCTGTTTTTTTTTTCCGATTCATTCTCAAATTCTGCATTTTAGTATCTCATTTTTTTTTGCAACATTGGGGTTTTCTTGCGCAGGCCATCAAGTATTGATCAGTGGCAGAAACCTCCATTGAAGCCGACAACCAGAGGCAGATGTAATGTATATTCTATTTTATTTTCTACTTTTTAATATATATTAAATATATGTTTATTTATTATCATAGTTATGACATCATGGGTCATTGACCCATTCAACCCAGATGGTTGAACTGCTGACCCAGAAACCGGAGGCCAAAGTGGTTCCGTTTCCGGGTCGGTTTTTAAAACCTTGCATAGCAAGAGAAAGGTGTGCCACCAACTTCACTTGTTGCAACTTGCAAGAAAACTAAGAAACCAATGTATATGATTTAGTAAACCATCTAAACAACTACAACTCAAAAAATTTTGGAAAAGCTACTAAAATGTTAGGATTCCAAGTTGATCAATGACTGTGTTTCATCATTCAAAGGGAAAAATCTTGTACACTTGGAGCAAGGTTCAAAGTATCGGTATTGTCTATTGCATCAGGAAGCTTGGATATGGATACATATCAGGATACGCATGAATATGGTGGAAAGATATGGATATGTTTGGATACATAGAGGTTAGAGGAAACTGCATATTATAGTAGTTTATATGAAGAAATACATTACAATCAATATGACAGGTCATATTAAATTATTTTCTACTTACAATCAATATGACAGGTCATATTATAGTAGTTGATATAAAACCATTATATTTTAATTAATAAATAAATTATTTTCTACTTATGATCTTTACTTTTGTATATTAACAGATAAACAAGTCAAGTTAATCTTAACCTCTTACTATGCTAGCTAACGACTATTTACCTTCTTAAAATTCACTAATAAAAACAAGTTAATTTTGTAAATGATTTTTATTTATTGTAAATAGTAAATATATTGGTGTTATTATAAATTAAAGTATTAATTAATAATTTATGGAAATATATAATCTTAATTTAAAAATAATTCAGATCCATTAGAATTTCTAAAATATGTTTCATATGCATATCCGTAAAATTTTAATTACTAAGACAAATATTTTATTTTTAGCATTTTATTTTATAAATTATTAAAAAATAAAAATAATTTTTTACATAAATATTAAGATTAGATTTGATAGTTCATCCATAAATATTAAAAATCATTTGACAAGCTTCCAGATTTCACAAGTATTGCAATATGCACATCACCTGTTACTTGTAAAAAAGGATAAGTATCAATATCCTAGAGATTTGCACATGCCAACTGATGTATACAATTCAGGAGAGACAATAAGAATGTCAAAAACAAATCAGAGAGTAATCTTCAACAGTGTATTGACTTGAATCTACCTTGGTTGATGCATTTCCAGATGTAACAAAAGGAGGAAAGTTTTCTACATTTCCATTTGGCAGGCCACTACAGTTGCCATTTGCAGTGCCACCTTCAATTACATTGAGCTGGTTCCCCCCCTTCTTCTGTCCAAATTGAGATACATCCTTTGAATTTGCATGAGTAATGTGTGACTCATCTTTATATACTCCACTCTTTTCTCTTGCTTCAGCCAACTCTAACTGAAGCTGTTGTATGGTATGCAAATGAAGCCTCTCCATTTCTGCAAACTAGCAAACATAACATAAAAAAAAGTCAGCCACTTTTAGTATAAACCAACATTTAACCAGAATAGGACATAAGTGTAAAAGAACAAGTAAATGACACAATTTCATCCCCATCAAAACCTAAGGGCATGCATATATTACACAAACTGGGGGAGAGAATGCTTTAATGAGTTCAAAGATGAACATAAAAGCAACCTGTCTTTGACAACCAAGCCAAAACTGATTAAATTGTTCTGTACGTTCTTGTAACTCAGCTTGTAATGAATGATTGGTTGTTGATTGCAAGGCATCCATTTCCTGAACGCGTGCAATCCAAGCATTTGCCTCCCTGATTTGCTCATCCTTGTATAGTATAGTTTCCTGTGCAACCCTATGCTGTAAAATGGGTCAATGTTAAACAGTTAAAGACAGTGTACCTCTTCAGTTAAGAAATAAACAATCTGATAAAAGAAAAAAGTTTAAGAAATTATAAAAGTATTAAACATAAAATGAGATGTATAACATTTTTAGAACCTGAATTCAGGCTGATGCTTGATTACAAAAAGTTTTCTTATGAAAAGACAATCACATATTCAGATAAAAAGGCAATGATAAAAGTTGAATTCCAAAATGTAGTTAAAATGCTTCAATGTGCAGTCTTTTTTAAAGAAAAAGAAATTTTCCGAGAAATAGCTCTCATTGGGAAAGATGCCCCTAGTTTGCCAGAACATGTAAATATAACTGATATCTTAAGCCTATCCATCTATATATGCATTCAAGAGAAATTAACTTTCATACCCTGGTGCACTAAAGGGAGAACCTATTCCCTGCATCCATTGTTTTCTAGGTGCCAAGGTGAGGCTAGGTGACAGGGGGTGCCTAGTCACCTAGTCACCTAGGCGATGGATTTTTCAAGTAAACAACATATATCGTAGGGTAGTTCCCTAGGTTCAATAACCATATTTCCTTAATAATTTTTTTGATCAATTACTTCCTTAATAATTATCCATAATTTTCATGAGAAAGTATAAACTTCATGCTAAAGTATAGAAAATCAACATATTTACAAGAAGAAAGAAAAGAAATTTCAAAAAATATAGCGGTTGAACCCCTATTTTTGTTATAGGAAAAGAAAAAAAGAAGAGATGGAAGAAGAAGAAGAAGAAGATGTGGAAGAAGAAAATGTGTTGATTAGACAAAATTTTAAGTTGCTCCTTACTTATTGGTTCAGGTTTTGAAGTCTTTGAGGGTTCAAAACAGCATTTAGCAATGTTTGTGTTGATTAAACCCTAACAAATAAAAAATAATAAAAAGAAATTAGTATATAAACACAAAAAATGAATATTTCAGGTTAATAATGTCTATCTTACAAATATAATCTCAAAAAATTAAGAATGTAAAGGCGTTTTATAACACAATTTACAAAACTTTTTGGCAATTCGGTGAGGTGAGCCTCCAAGCGTGCCTTGTTGCCTAGGCATCACCTTGAGAACTATGCCTGCACCATCCCTGACAAAGCCAACCAAACAATGCCATACAAAGGTATCTTAAACTTAAGTGACACATCCATTGCATTTTTTATGGATGCAAATGAATTGGATTTGATCTGATTCAAATTCGAATTTAATCTGATACTTGCCAGATTTGAATCCATTTATGCTAAACAAATTGAATCAGATCAAATAAATTTGATCTGTTAATTAATCAGACTTCTTTTGATTATCTTTCCCCTTCGCTTTCATTAATTCTTAGAAATGACAATGGAGGCATAGAACCGCTGGCGCCGGATGTAGCACAGGCTGCAAGTTGCCAGGTTCCACTCTCCTCTCCCTCTCCCCCCCCCCCCCCTCTCTCATATCTCTTGCACCAGTGAAACTATTTTTCTGCTATAGTCTTTTAGATTTCTGCATACAGAGTTTTCTTCTGAGTGAGTTAATTGGATGCTGTTACTGTATTTTTGTTTCAAAAGCATTATTTTTCTGTTTTAGGTTTCTGCAAAACAGAGTTTTCTTCTGTGTGACTTCATTGGGTGCAGTTTTTGAGTATTGACTTGAAATGTTAAAAAGAATTGAATATGTATCTAGTCTGTCTAGTTGCAGTTAAGCATTGAATCTCCGTTGTCAAATCGAATTGAATTTGAATAGAAAATATGTATATCCACCGGATTCTAATCGATCCAGACACCATGCATTTCTTATCAAATCAAATCCTGCTATACCCCTATCCCAATTCAATTTGATCAGTTTGCATCCCTAATTGTTTAACCAATGAAGGATGGCAAGGAACACTAAGCACAGCTCACTTGATGTAACGTGTTAAATTGAATTCCAAAGAGCATAACAGAAGTGCATCCAAAAAAGCTAAGTAAAAAAACCTGTTCCTCCAATTCAAAGAACTGCCTCTCTTTTTGTTCAATATGCTCTTTGAGGTCATGTATCTGTTTGAGATGTTGAACTCTTTCAGCTTCAGAGTTATCACGCTCTCTCCTGCAAACAAATATAATGATCCCACTTCATATCAAAATGTACGCTATATAAGAAAATCATCTTGAAAATAATTTTACTTCATAACATGACCTTAACATTTGGGATGGGGCAGGGGGCTATGCAACTGCTGAAGACATGCTTCTGTGGGTTTTGGTGAATGTAGAAATGAAATTATGCCATCATAAAGTCACAAGTTCATACCGGAAGGTTGCCAACTCCTTGTTTTGCTCTCTAAGAAGGTCCTCCTTAGCCCAGGCCTGTCAAAAATAAGAAAATGACAGGAAATAAGAAATCAATCTTCGAAGCAGACAGGAAGTTAATCAAGGGAGTAAATAATCAGATGCTCAACAAACCGCTTCATTGTCAATTTTAATTGCCTGTAACTCTCTATCCTTCTCTTCCAACTTCATTTGCAATTCATGTATGGTTTGTTCCCTTTCTTGTAGTTGATCCTACACAATCAAAATAAGTCACATTAGACGGGAGGAATGAATGATAATATTCCCTCTCGCAGGAAAATAAGATAGTATATGAAGGCAAGATTTGAGTTGGTGACAGAAGCATAAGAATCCCTGAATATCATTTTGCAAGTCGTTTACAAAATTTGAACAACTTCACTCATGAAGTCACAATAGTGGCAGAAACAACGATAATAACAACAGCCATTATAAACAGCACTGGACTTGCATTTAGATGATTTTAGAGGTCCATGGAAGTAGCATAAAAGCAAGAAAAATCGTTCGTGAACCTATAGCACTTAAAATAAGAAAGGAGAACAGCATAAAATATGTAGTCGATTTTCCCTCAATGAGTGATGTAGAATGCTAAGAAGTAAGAAGCAACAAGTTATCCAATTGAGTCCAACTTTCGGGGAAATGGTTTATAAATATCTCCACATGTAGACGGCAAATAAATGGGTCTATAACAAGTTAACAACTAATACCTTTAGTTTGGCGGCAACATTAGTATGTTCTTTGATCCGAGCATCAAAGCTAGTCTGCACCTCCGTTATCTCGGATCTAGCTATTAGCTGAGCTCTAAGCTCGATTTCCATCTGTTGCAGTTGTTCCCTCTGTCTGGAAACACCATGAAGACGTTTCTGCAATATGTCATTGTCCAAGCTTCCATCCACGGTAATCGAACAGAAGTCAACATCAAGTGGCCCTGTTCCCTGCTGCACCTTGCATAACACATGATTGCGCTCAGTCCTAAACATGCATACACAGACACATAGACACAGAGAAAAAGGAATCACAAATTGCAACCTAGTACTTAGAACATGAACCTTACCTCATATATTGTTCTCTCATCGGATTGCCCCATCTTCGACCGCTCCAACTCCTGTCCAATAATCACGTCCAACTTAACAACAAAAGAACGAAAACAGAAAGCAGGAAAATGGAGAGGTAGAACGAAAGGAATATTAACCTCATTTGCGACATTCCGAACAGAATGATGATCGGAAACGGCCCGCCATTCCTTCCTGGCAGACTGAGAAGAAGGCATTGATAGCGAACTGCCACGCCCTGCGGCAACTCCGGCCGCAGCTTCCATCAAATCAGAAACTCCTCTATCTCTCTCTATCTATTTCTGTTTTCCTCGACGAATTTTAAGTTGAGGTTGGATATAATTGGTAACGCGATGCGCTTCCTGCGAATTGAAAACCCTACTGTTCTTTTATACAAGTTTTGCAGAAACCCTAGAACCAGAGCATTTACCGGTAAAGCTACTTCAATGAGATTGAACGTGAAAATAAAACGAAATAGAGAAAGGACTGAGACTTGAGAATACGAAGGCGAATAACCTAATTTTGACTGCCGAAGGAGAGAGATGCCTACTTTTCTTTCACTCAGTTTGGGGAGATTTCTTACGATTGCAAGGGCATTTGAAGGGAAGTACAAAAAATACGCTGACAAGGGGGGGGAGAAATAGATGGGAATGAGAGAGAGAATTCGCGTCGCCTTGCTTTCAAGAATAAGAATTCAATTATAAGATTAGTCTTAATTAGAGGGAGAGAACAAACAAAAAAAATGGTTTATCGGCTATCGCCTTTCGCCCATCGGGAGCGAGAGGGAAATCAATCGGACGTGGGACGAGGCTCCCGTCCCGTTCCACTATTTGAGTTCAAATCAGCCCCCCGCAATACACGGCGGGGATGTGCTGTGGGACTTTGAACCCCACTTGACTGCACTGATAGAGTTCGGCTTCAGTCCAGGCAGTTTCAGTCAATGCACCGTTCGCGCGTAAGGACGCGCCACGCGTGCGTCTTTCAATTCGTGTAAACATTTGAAGCATGCGGGGGAGCTTTACGCCGTTAGGTTGCAAGTTGCAAATAGTCCGCTCCTCTCCTCTCGCTCGAGTCGCAAGTTCTCTTCTCCCTCTCTCTCTTCCCCCATCCACCCGATGGCAACTTAACAACTATTACCGCCGGCGACAAACACTCAGCATGAAAAACATTCTTTAACCTGGAAACCAACCGCTGCTCGGGTACATTCAACTCTAATCTTGCACAAAGTGGGCAAGGAGGGTCATGTTTCTGTGTCTTCGACGTTATCTGCTTCAAGCACTCAGTATGAATGAACTCCAGCAACCGGCATATCTCCACTTCTAGCAATCCTGCGAGAACTCCAAGGTGATCTTTGAGACTCACACAATCCCCATTTGAATCCTTCCTATGGATTGCATTAAAGTGCAAAACATTCAGAATCCAACTACTCAAAGCATTTTCTTAATCAGAGTCCTTTGAAGTTTGAACTTGTAAGACGGGGCTTTGCATATTTCAGGCATGCAGGGCCCGTCATGCCATGTGGTCTCCGTCTCCCTCCCACCCAAGTCCAATGCGCTATCAACCTTCAATTTGAACCAGACTATGAGACATTTGAACTACTGACCACTATCAAGAGGTACGTGCAGTAATTGGTCCTTCACTCCTTGGATGAAATTAATTAAAAAGATCAAAGTTTCCTAAAGATTACTCCTCACCCCATAGCTAGCCCATTAGTTAGCCCTTTGTGTCTTCAAAGTTTCGGCTGTTGCATAGCACCATCTCCTTCGACTCTGTTTAATTACCGACACTCAGTGTCCTCTGATCAATGAGACCTGGTGTAAGGGTATGCCTGATGAAGATGGGGTCGCTTTGTTGTGTGGTTGCAAGGCCACATGGATCCAATGCAGCCAGTGGAGAATGGTCCATTGGTCCCAATGAACCGTATTGGTGAACTAATACAAGTTTTTCACCACCCTTATCCAGAAGATGGGATCACAGGTTCCAATCTGAAGGTCTTCCATATGGATCAAATAATGTTGTTCAGCTATATGGGTCTTCTATCTCATCTAACAGTAAAAGCAGAGTGGATGAGAAGTGACCAATTTTCTCATCATCATTATTCTGCATCTGATGGTTTTGGATCATATTTTAGTAGTCCATCAGATAGTTTTCAGACCGAACAGTGGACACCACTACCAGTGCAAAGAGCCAGTGCTGATGATTATGTATTTGTGACACTGAGAGGTATAACAAAAGCCAACATAGGGGCCCTTAACTTTTACACCGTTAAATGGAAGGATCTTCAGCTATCCCGTATAGTGCAGGATCCACTTCAACCTATTCAGATGGTAGTGAATATGAGCCCATTACCAAGGCACATGCTTCTTCACATCGTCGTTATTCTTTCATGTCCAAGCCTGTTCACTCTATCTTTTTCGACCTTAACTCTGGGTAGGGAAGATTATGGAGCCATTGCCCCTGGAAACTGTGTTAATCAGCCAACTGTTCATGAGAACAGCATGTTTCATCATTCTGATATGAAATATGCTCAAAATCTTGCAGAGTTTCATTCTACTTCTGGCTTTTCTGAATTTGGTGCTACAACTCCCCAAAGAGAAGCACTTCAATGGAGCAGTGCTAGCAGTCAAGGTTCAAAGTATCTTTTTGGGACCCCTCTGATACGCCCCTATAGTGGGTGGATTGGGGGTCTGACCGGTCAGGGGTGGAGAAGACCTAAACCGGCCCCCTGAACCGATTTCAGAAAAAAAATAAATAAAAACTAAAAAGAACAGTATCGATTCACCTGATACACCCATACGCCCGATACATCGATATTTTGAACCTTGCTAGCAGCAACATTGATTTCACTGATGCTTTTGAGTAGTTGGATTCCGAATGTTTTGCACCTTCATGCAATCCATAGGAAGGATTCAAATGCGGATTGTGTGAGTCTCAAAGATCACCTTGGAGTTCTTGCAGGGTTGTTAGAAGTGGAGACATGCCAGTTGCTGGAGTTCATTCATGCCGTCATGTTTTTCATGCTGAGTGCTTGGAGTAGACAACGCCGAAGACACAGAAACATGACCCTCCTTGCCCACTTTGTGCAAGATTAGAGGAGAATGTACCCGAGCAGCGATTGGTTTCCGGGTTAAAGAATGTTAAGTCGTCGTTGGGTGGATGGGGGGAGAGAAAGGGAGAAGAGAACCTGCGACTTGAGCGAGAGGAGAGGAGAGGAGAGGAGCGGACTGTTTGCAACTTGCAAGCTAACGGCATGAAACCCCCCGCAATCTTAAAACGTTTACACAAATTGGAGGACGTGTGGCATGTCCTCCTTTTGCGCAAACTATGCCTTGACTTAAGCTGCTTGGACTGAAGCCGAACTCGCACTGATATGGGGCTGGTAAATGGTAGATCCTCAGCCATGACTCTACGTCCAACTGAGGGAGTTCGGATCTGTTCGTCACAGGGCGTGCCTCACACCGACCTCACACAACGTGTCAGCCGTGCATTTGGAACATCTCCCCTAATTAAAATTTTACAAGTAGAAAATGTCCTGTGAGGTCGATGTGAGGCACAGTTTGTGATGAGCAGATACTATTACCATCTGAGGACCACAATATTCCTATGCTGTGACTACACTTACATCGAGATTTTTTTTTCTTGAGGCAACAATGGGCAAACTACTGAGGACTAACCACCCACTCGTAATTTGGGGTTGTAAAAGTAGTAATGATTTGATCCCCGAACTTTCATCCACACTGAGAGCTACTCGTACTTTCATGTTTACCACTCTACAACTGTCACCAAAAAACTGTAATCACCAACAAGTTGGTGGAATATAATCGGGAAACAGCCATGGATGGCAAAATCCAGAGCAGCAGTGATGACCACTGTACCAAAATCAAACAAATTAAGGAAGAGCCATCCTTTTGTACCAAAATCAAACAAAAAGAATAAAGGAAAAGAATGATGGAGAGAAAAGAAAGATGGGGCAATGGGACAAGAATGAAAAATCAAAAGAAAGGAAAAGAGAGGGAGATAGTGGGAAGAAAAGAAAGGGGAGAAGGGTAACTCCCCAAAGGGAGCCACCCCAAAAAGAGACCAATGGCAGAAGATGGACAATGGAAGGTGGATGATAAGAAGAAACTCGAGGAAACCTCTAGATACCCTAGAGAGAGAACATAAAAGAAAATCGATGATATTTGAAAGAGTTATATCCATAGTATTTAGTTCTAACTAATAATAAAAAAGAAGGCAAATGGTTTCATGAAGTTCAAAACCAGCGGAATGATAATATGCTAAGAACAAAGTGTTGGATAGTATAGTTCACCCTATTACAAATTAAAGTTTAAGGACCAAAGTGTCACTAACCCCCAAAGTATAGGTAATTAGTATTTTACTTATTTTCGATAGGGCTATGGGATAGGGGGAGCCCATACCCCATACCTATAACTATGGGTGTTTAATGGACTAGATTCGGATTAAACCCCATTTGAGTTGCGTTAGCTGTGGCTAAATTCCTGAAGTGTGACATTGTATTGGCAAGTAAAGGATGGAAGTTAGATTTGACCTAAGTATTAATCAGAATGGTTTTGGGTCTATCTTTTGGTCCCAATTAATAATCAGTTCTAACCCAACCCAACACATTGATAATCCTACAACTTAGTCATGATTAGCTCCTTTGAAAACACTATAATTCACACTTCTGTACTATAAAATCTTCCTACAAAAGCTTCACAAGAGATTTGCCATCTACCTCTTATCATATAATTCCACGAATATATAGTTAGAATCTTAAGATTCCCTCAATTTCAAATTTTCATCGGAAAGATGGGCTATCTACAAGAGATAAACTCAAAATATTAAAGGATATTGATAGCCAATGCATCATTTGTAACATGGAAGATGAAAGTACTGCGTATCATTTGTTTTTAACTTGTCCCAGTGCTGTATGGGCTAGACTACATGTAGATTTTCATGTGATGCACTATTAAGTGAAGTTTCCACATATGCTAATTAAGTAGTGGCTTCATGCTCTTCCGCCTCATCTTCCAAAGCATGAAACTGCACCACCAATCTTTCGATTCAATATGGGTTAAATATGATTGAGGAATAATTACATTTGGCTACACCTTCCATTTAACGAGCCACCACATTTCACACTTATAGAAATGTATCAACAGTGTTTATATGTGGATTTCTTTCTAGATTGATGGGTAGATGAGGGTATTTTTTACTAAAATTTGGTAGGGTGAGGTTTTTTGACATTTTGAGTTGATTGGTGGGGTTAGATTGGGCCAAAGGGGTTCAGATCGGGCAGATCTGGAAAAGGAATCTGGGCCAAAGGGGTCCAGATCTGATTCGGTCAATCTAGAGCCTCGAAACAGAATCTATGTGTGACCAAAAGGCAAACAATGGTATTGTGGATTGAAATTTTATAAGTGGGTATTTTTGAGTGTCTGGGATTTGATGGTAATGTCTGATCGGTCTAAAGGGTTAAGATCGTAGAAATCTGGATCAATGAGAGGGTCCAAAATAGAATCTTGGTTTGATGAAGGGGTAAACGGAAAAATCTTGGGTTGAAACTTTATGGGCAAGTGTGCTGTTGTACCCAGAGTTTAATGGTGTGGTTTGATAGATTCGAATGTGTTAAAATTCAGGGAATCTGGGTTTTGAATGTTTAGGCTAACGAGAAGCATTGAAATGGAATCCTTGCTTGATAAAGGGATAAACGGAAGAATCTTGAGCTGAAATTTTATAAGTAGGTATTTCTAGAGGTTTTGAGTCTGATCTAAGGGTAAAAGTGTAGATAGGGGTTGATCAGGGCTATCAGATAAGTTTAATGGTGGATTTAGGGGCTTTAGGTCTAAAAGTTGGGATAAATGTTTTAGAGAAATGGAAGGATCTAATCAAATGTTTGGGATAAATTGAAGGTTCAGGCAGTGGACCATGATATCTAGTCGAATGGTATTCGAACCGTTATTTTAATGACCCAAGCCGAACTCATCCAAGAGATGCCATTTCTATTTTCTCAATTAATTAATTATTATTAAATTTATTACACGTCCATACATATACAGTGATGAGAAACAGGCACGAAAAGGGGGAAGAAACAGAAGTTGGAAAAGATGAACATAAGGGCTGATGGAAAAGAAAACACAGATGCTGTAAGCAGTAAGTTAATGGATAGAATCTACTACTGCTACTCTTTCTCCAACCTCCTAAGGATGGCTGTTTTCAAGCCCTCTTCGCTCTTCACCCCATCGGGAAGTCTAATTACAACATCCTGAAGCATCAATTCCTTGACACTGGACACACTTGCATGATGTACTTGAAGTTTAAGCCCTCGAAGTGCATCCATGAGTCTTGCCGACGGGTAGTTCACATTTTCCGATTGGACCCTGATCAATGCGTCCGTTCCCAGAATCTTCACCTCTACATCCATCGAGGTTATAAGTCCACCACTACCATAAATGGAGGAAGATCTTGTTTGGCCGTAGTCAAAAACAGTGGTAGCGGTGGTAATGGTGCTTTGATGATCATCCATTTCCATCTTCACTTTCTTAGAGTGTCTTCCCAAACCCAGTCGCCCCTCCAGATCTTCTATTTTTCCCTTGAGCTCATTGATGTAGGAAACCGCGTCTGCAAGCAAGGATGCTTTGTCCATCCTCGACACGTTTGGGACCACGCTTCGCAGCGCGTAGAAGCGGTGATTGAGCTTCTCTCGACGCTGTCGTTCCGCCTCCACATGGTTCAGCGGCATGTCTCGCCCTTTCCCTGGCTTTCTTCCTCTCTTCTTTGGTCTCCTCTTCTCCATATCTGCCGAAGTGATGAGAAGGGCATCGGAGTCGAAATGCTCCGACTCGACGGAAGATGAGTGTGTTGCTGGTGGTGCTGGAGCCGTCGTCATCGTAATAGTGGTAGTGGTTTCCCCGTTCTTCTTTGTCCTCGCTTCTTGTCGGTGTCTCTCTTGGTGGATTCCTTCTCCTCTCTCCCCATTGATTATCCCAATATCTGGGAACGACAGATCTCGATCGAGAAACGGTATCAAACCCCCTTGGCTTGGACTTCGTTCCTGGACTGGGAGTGAGACTGCAACTGGGACTGGACTGATAACATCAGATCCAAACAGGGATTTGGCTTGGTGCACAAGACCCCAGTTCTCTGCAATAGTGTCCGAAGAACCCAATTCAAGCACTCCAGATGAAATTGGGATATACACCAAAGTCTCGATTCCATGCACCAGAGCTTCTTTAGCACGCTCACAATTGCAAAACCGAAGCTGTTGGGCACCGGTCAGCCAGACCGGAGAGCCGGAACTAATAGCCTTGCCTGGGAGTCCATCGCCGATGTTGAATGACCGGGTTATGGACACCATGTAGAACCACTCGGCATCGGTGACATCTCCATCCACGGAGGCGTCGATGTCTGGGATGTCGTTGATAAGGGCTTGAATTCCCTTCATCACCTTCTTTCGCTCCCAGTCAATCTCTAGTTTCTGTTGTTGACATTGAAGTCTGTTGCTGTATCTAGAAGATGAGGAGGCTCTATCTCTGGTGCCTCGGAAAAGGCCATCAGCCCAGGCCAAAACTAGGTGGCCATTGTTGTCGTTAGAAGTCCGCCAGAAAATGGCGTAAACCCACCACTCCGGTCGGCTTTGAACGAGGAATCGAAGTCGTTCTTGAAGGGTTTTCTGTGGGGTTTCTTGACAAACGAAGAGTAAGGAAGATGGCGAGGTTGAACGCGTGGGTGAAGAGATAATCCCTTCCATGACTGTATTTGTTTTGTTCTCGATCGGTTGTTGCTGCGTGTTTGGTGATTTCTGTTGCGCTTTTTGTGGTCGGGTGGTTTAATTCTTTCGTCTGGAGTCCGAGAGGGAGAGAGGGGAGGGGATAGTGGGTGGCTGAGAAAATTCACAGAGAATTTAAGGCCATTTAAAAGGAGAGGGGCTATTGGAATCTGATCTCATGTTGTCTGTAGGGAACATTTAAAAGGGTGGGCGACGGAGGAGATGAGATGCGACTTGCGAGAGAGGGAGAGGAGTGGGGGGACCTTCGTCCTTCGCCCTTCCTTCACCTTCAGTGACTGTTTGAGTATGTACAATGTGAGTTGTTTTCTTCCCTTTGGTGTTAATTTGACACCATTACCGCGTGAATCTAAATTAAGCAGAATGGCAGAGACGCTGGGAAAATGGTTACATCGGACTGCACTACGTTAACCGTCGGATTATAATCTTATTTGGATTGCCATGTCATAGATTCCCTCTTTTTCACGAATCCGATGGTTCCGAATCCTAAGTGGCCAGGGCTAGCAAACAGTCTGAATCATAATCACATGTATCCATTAGTATTTTACAAACTAACAAACGTCATATTTGAGTATTCACGACAAAAACAAATGAGCTGATGGAAATATGGAGTCATCGAAACGGGTTCGGATGAGGTAAGCATTACGTTGTAAGTTCAGAAATCGGCTTCAGTCACTGCAAAACTTTTCTTTCTTGCATTGGAAACATTTTTTATTTGGGAGATATTTCCAATGCAAGGCTATAATAATTGTTAGAAAGGGCGTTGCAGTGACTGAATCCCATCAGTAGTTCAATGAGCACTTGAAAATTTTTTTGACACTTGTCCTTAAAAATATCTTCAACCCACCCTTGAAAAAGATTAATACCCCTTCATTGTTCTTTTTTAATAATTTATAGGATAAAATATAAAAACCTCCCCTAATTAAGGTTTCATTTTCATAGAATCCTCTTTTCTTATAGTTTTGATTTTGAACTTTCATTTGCAACAAAAAAACCTTTTTGAACATTCACACTGCAACAAATACCCCTGACCATTAAGTCTAATGACAGAATTCGTCCAATTATCAAAATATCCACTTAAACTTTCTTAATTCTCTTATCCTTTTCTCTTAAGTCCTAATTGATCAAAAATACGATTTAAAATAACAAGAATCATTTCATTGGTATAGAAAATAAAGTTTTTTTTTATTCATTTCACTCATATGAATGTCTCTCTTCATCTTAAAATATAAAAATTATCCACTCATTTTCCCAATAATTTAAGAAAACCAAAGGAAACTAGAAATTTATTAGGAAAACAAAATCTCTACCAATTCATTTGAAAATTGAATCTAGCTAAAAATATGTAAAGATCTATTGGAGCAACCAAGAGGGCTTCAAGGTTATATTAGAAAATTAATTGAATCATATTCAAATAAATAAGAATAGCATAGTTTGGGATTAGAAAAAAATTTAAATAGCTGAATGAGCCAAAGTGAATGTAAAAGTTCAGGTGTTTTTCACTACAAGAAAAACCGGCTAAGCCGGCATTAGCTGAACCACCGACATAGACTTATAAACTGCCGGTATAGGCCTAAGCCAGCGGTTCATTGGCCGCCACCTATAGTTGCGCCGCCCTATGTCATGAACGCTAGCCTAAGAGACAAAGACCGCCGTCCTAGAGACCTGGTCCAGCCATTCATAAGCTGGCTTCTGCAGAAGAATGCTTGCCCTGTCTGCATGGCTGCTGTAGCAGCATACTAAGATTGGAAATCATTCAAGAATATGATGCTGATAATGAGATGGGAAAGCTGGATTGTAGCTAGAGCTATCACATGTTTTGCTTAAACCAGTGGCTTCTGGAGTGCTTGCCCGGCAGCCATGCTGCCAAGTGCCCAGCTCAATATTAAGATTGACATCATTTGAACCTCAGTGTCTGCCAATGGGTATTGGATCAGTGTTTCTCCTTTGTTGCTTTTTGTACAGCTTTCGACTGAAATAAGCATGCATCCATTCTTTGTTGTGTAATTCCTCTACCCGTTTGTCTATTATAAAATATTGGGCTTTTGTGGAAGCCACAAACACTTGAAAGTTTGCAGCTGTTGTCATCACCATTTCATGGGCAACATTTACATTTCATTCAGTTGTTTTGGTTCCTGTGAGATGAAAATACTTTTAATACAGTCAAAATTTACCATTCAAAAAAACTTAGTTATATTTAATCTATTTATCATTTCCATTCTTCTGTCTACTGTTAATAGAACTCACATATATATGGAGGTGAAACAAGGATCTGCTGCAGTGACAAAAGCTGAGCAGTAGCAGGATTAATTTTAATGATACTGGTAAGACTGCATCAAGGAGACGATGATGAAAGAATCTATCCCTATATCCTCAAATAAAGCCAGCAACAAAAGTAAGAGCATAATTGGACTGGTAGATGGTGAACCTGAGGATGGAAATAAAACAGGAAAGAAGAAAAACCTTGGAATAAAAATGGAATCACCAAACCTGCATCAAGTGTTCAATTAATTATAGTGCTTCCACTACTACTTACTATTTTCCTTTTTTTATCTTTGCCAATGGAGATACTTTTTGGGAACCAATTTGCACTGAAAATTGCATTCAACACCAGATGGGAATGCTGTAGATGACTTCCCTTCATCTTATGAGTAGGATAAAAAGTCCTGCAGTTGGAAGAAAATTAAGACAGTACCTACTCTGCCCATATTTCTGAAGGTAATGTTTAATACTTTACTAGAGATGGGTTCCTTTAGCTGAAAATTTTCAAGTTTTCACAAACTCTGTAGCTCTAGGGTGTAATAAGAAATGGTTTAACTTCCATGGTTATTGTCTGCAGTTCCAGGCTGTCAAATACAAGGTAGTTATGAACAAGAGAAGAAGCTCGGATGCTCAGAAGTACATACTCTATGGGATTACAGGTTCAGTACAACCGGGTTCGTGCTGTTGATAGTGCTTCAAACTAAGTGGACGTAGTGGGTGATTTACTTCCTAATTGTTAGGCATTGTGTTAGTGGACTTAGTGGGTGGTTTACTTCCTAATTGTTAGGCATTATGTTAGTGGACTTAATGGGTGAGTTACTTCCAAATTGTTAGGCACTATTTTGAGTTAGTGAGCCATGTTTTTCCACTTTCTAATTTAGTTGCTTATTTTTAGCTAAGGTTAATTCAGCTGTAAGTCTATATATATTGGACCTCTGATGTTGTTTTTTTGTATGAAGAAAATTGAATTCGAAGTGGCTTTGTTTTCAAATTAGAATTCTGTTCTTTGTTCCCAACAATTTCTTTGGTATCAGAGCCAGGTTGGGTCTTTATCTGGACAAAGGGTAAAGTAAGAGAAAAGAGAGTTCCGTCATGGGAAGCAACATAACCAATTTTTTGCTCTGCCCCTAATTCTAGTCTTCAAAGGGGGAAATTATCACTTCTGGAGCCTCAAAATGAAGACCATGTTCAAGTCTCAAGAGCTGTGAGACTTGGTGGAGAAGGGATTTGAAGACACAAATCCAACTGAGCCTGATCAACGGTTGCGAGAAACCTGTAAGAAGGATGCAAAGGCTCTGTTCCTCATTCAACAAGCCCTTGATGAAGAAATTTTTCCAAGAATTGCAGCAGCTAGCACCTCCACTCAAGCATGGGAGATTCTGAAGCAAGAATTCTTGGGCGACAAGAACGTAATTACTATTAAATTACAGACTCTTGGTCATGATTTTGAAACATTGGCCATGAAAGAAAAAGAATCTGTGCAAGTATTTTTATCTAAGGTGTCTAGGATTGTTAATCATATGAAGTCATATGGTGAAAGTATTAGCAATGAAACTGTTGTGAGTAAGGTTTTGAGGAGCCTAACCTCAAAATTCTATCATGTAGTTGCTGCAATTGAAGAGTCTAAGGACTTGTCTACTTATACTTTTGATGAATTAATGAGTTCTCTATTAACCCATGAAACTAGACTGAGAATATCCTATGAAAAGGTTGAGGAGAAGGGTTTTCATGTTAAGGGGGAGTCTTCCTACAAGGGAAAGTCAGAAAATTCTGGAGGCCAGGGACAGAGCAGAGGTTGTCAAGGTCGTGGTGGCGGCAGAGGAAGAGGCCAATTTGGTGATCAACGCCAACACAAAAGCACCATCCAATGCCAATATTGCAAGAAATTGGGTCACAAAGAAGTAGATTGTTGGACCAAGCAGAAACAAACCAATTTTACAGAGAAAGTTGAAGAGGAGAGTAAGCTATTCAGGGCTCATTCTCCTATTGATAATGCTTCCAATGGAGTTTGGCTTCTGGATAGTGGATGCTCCAACCATATGTCCAGAACAAAGTCTCTTTTTAAAGAACTTGACGAGTCACAAAAAAGTGAAGTTCGACTCGGAGACAACAAGCAAATGCAAGTTGAAGGAAAATGTACAATTGCCATCAAAACCTCACAAGGTAATGTAAAACTCCTCCATGATGTGCAATATGTTCCTAATTTAGCTCATAATTTGTTGAGTGTTGGGCAATTGATGGATGGTGGATACTCTATTTTGTTTGATGATGGTTGTTGTTCTGTCCAAGATAAGAAAAAGGGCATAAAATAGTTAACATTCTGATGGCACAAAATAAAATGTTTCCGTTAGAAGTCTCTAAAGTAAGTTGGGTGTATTTCTTGAAATTAAAATCAGAAACTTTTGAAACTTTCAAGAAATTCAAAGAATTAGTGGAGAAGCAAAGTGGGCATTGTATAAAGGCGCTCCATTCTGATAGGGGTGGTGAATTTACCTATAATGAATTTAATGTTTTCTGTGAGGAAAATGACATTCATAGGGAGTTGACAGCACCATACACACCGGAGCAAAATGGTGTGGCTGAGCGGAAAATCGAACGGTGGTTGAAATGGCAAGAAGCATGATGAAGGCAAGTGGTGTTCCAAATCAGTTATGGGTAGAAGCAGTGGCAACAACAGTTTATCTTCTCAATATCTCATCTACAAAGGCTATCATGAACCGGACCCCATATGAAACTTGGAAGGGCAGGAAGCCACGGGTAAGCCACTTGAAAATTTTTGGTTATATAGCCTATGCCTTGGTTACTTCTCCAACCCCCAACAAACTTGATGAAAAAAAATGCATTTTTGTTGGCTATAGCCCTCAATCCAAAGCATATAGGTTGTATAACCCTGTGGGTGGCAAAGTAATTATTAGCAAGGATGTTAAGTTCAATGAAGAAGAAACTTGGGCCTAGAACAACGACAATGCAACACCTACAGCACCACAAGTTACAGAAGATGCTAGTATAACTCCTGTGACAAAACCTCCAGAACCAGCTATTCCATATGCTGGTAGCAACAACTCAACCATTTACTCATCTCCCCCCAGCAACAGTAGCGCATCTACTCCAACAAGCTTGCAATCCTCATCTTCAAGTTCCTCTAGTGAAACACCTCCAAAAAAATTCAGATCATTGAGGGATATTTATGCTTCATGTAGCTTTGCTTTGTATGTTTCTAACCCCACTTGTTATGATGAAGCTGCAGAAAGTCAAGTTTGGCAGGATGCAATGAAAGAAGAGATGTCGACTATTGAAAGAAATGAAAATTGGGAATTGATCAATCTACCGAAAGGCAAGAATGTTATTGGGCTCAAGTGGGTGTACAGAACAAAGTATCATGCTGATAGTACTATACAGAAACACAAAGCTCGGTTGATGGCGAAAGGTACTCTCAGTTTGTGTACCAGGTTTGTGTACCAGAAACACAAACCTTTTCTCCGGTTGCTCGCTTTGAAACGGTGAAAACCTTTCTAGCCTTGGTTGCACAATTAAATTAGGTTGTGTACCAGTTTGATGTTAAATCCACCTTTTTGAATGGAGAACTTGATGAAGAGGTGTATGTTTCTCAACCTGAAGGTTTTGTTAGTGACGATGACAACAAAGCTTACAGGTTAAAGAAAGCTTTATATGGCCTAAAGCAAGCCCCGCGAGCATGGTATAGCAAAATAGACTCCTACTTTAAGGAGAATGGATTTGAAAGGAGTAAAAATGAGCCAACACTTTATGTGAAGAAGCAAGGTAACTCTGATTTTTTGGTGGTGTTTTTATGTTGATGACATAATTTATATGGGATCTTGTGAGTCTCTTATTGAGGAATTTAAGTCTTGCATGATGAAAAAATTCGAGATGTCAGATTTGGGTTTGTTTGCATTATTTTCTTGGTTTGGAGGTCAACCAAAGTGCAGATGGGATTTTTATTTCCCAAAGAAAATATGCTAATGATTTGTTGAAAATGTTCAATATGTTAAACTGCAAAGCAGCTCCAACTCCCATGAATGTTAATGAGACACTCATAGCTAATGATGGCATTGGAATGGCAAGTGCAAAGTATTTCAGAAGTATGATTGGCGGTTTGAACTACTTGTCTCACACAAGGCCTGATATAGCATTCCCTGTCAGCGTTGTCTCTAGGTTTATGCATACTCCAACAATGCATCACCTCGGGGCAGCAAAGAGGATCCTTCGTTATGTTGCTGGAACTGTTGATTTTGGAATTTGGTACTCAAAAGTATCAGATTTCAAACTTTTGGGTTTTACTAACAGTGACTGGGCAGGTTGCTTGGATGATAGAAAAAGCACCTCCGGCTATGTTTTCTCCCTTGGTTCGGGTGCTATTTCATGGAGTTCAAAGAAGCAAGAGATCATGGCCTTGTCATCATCAAAAGCAGAATATGTTGCTGCAACGACATCAATTTGTCAAGCAGTTTGGCTAAGGATATTGTTAGCTGATTTTTTGCCAAGTTCAAGAAGGGGCAACTCAAGTGTTTTGTGACAACAAGGCAACCATTGCTATGGCGAAAAATCCAGCTTTCCACAGCAGAACAAAGCACATTGATATTCGCTATCATTTCATCCGAAATCCGGTTGCTGAAGGAACAATAGCAATGAAGCATTGTGGGACCAATGAGCAAGTAGCTGATGTTCTTACCAAGTCACTGCCACGTGCCAAACATGAGTACTTCAGACTGCAGATGGGAGTAATAAGCTTTGAAGCAAGGGGGAGTGTTGATAGTGCTTCAAACTAAGTGGACGTAGTGGGTGATTTACTTCCTAATTGTTAGGCATTATGTTAGTGGACTTAGTGGGTGGTTTACTTCCTAATTGTTAGGCATTATGTTAGTGGACTTAGTGGGTGAGTTACTTCCAAATTGTTAGGCACTATTTTGAGTTAGTGAGCAATGTTTTTCCACTTTCTAATTTAGTTGCTTATTTTTAGCTAAGGTTAGTTCAGCTGTAAGTCTATATATTTGGACCTCTGATGCTTTTTGTATGAACAAAATTGAATTCGAAGTGGCTTTGTTTTCAAATTAGAATTTCTGTTCTTTGTTCCCAACACGTGCAACAATGTCATGCATTTCAGATAACTGAGTCTAGAGTATAGAGTTCATTTTGACCAAAAGGATCTCAGCTCTCATACTTTCAAAAGAATCGAGTCTAGAGTTCATCCAATAAGTGAAGCTGAAGGTGTTGAAATGACAATGTAAATGATTCACAAATAACATCAAGGATTCAAAACTAGGAAGTTTCAGATATTCGACCGGAGGAAGAGGAACCAAGACAACAACAAGGAATCTCCTCCCACAAACTGCAACCCAACTACTACAAGTTTATATCATGATTGATCTAATCCTAGTTATATATATTTGATGGAAAGATTGCCTTGGTTGATCAATATGTGGCTAGCTTTTTGTACAAGCGCGGTTGGAGGATGTGGCCTTGTAATAGACTAATAGTAATATGTGTGCAATGCAAAGTGTGAACATTCTTTAATGATTGTATTGAATTCTTGTTTCAGGTTTCAGTTTTAAGCAGATGTCAACTGATATTATTATTTAAAAATTAACAAAATCTATGCAGACAGTCATAGGAACCACCACATTAGACAGATCATTACACTTAAGCCGATGGGTAATATATTTATGGCGGTGGCTTAATTAGATGACAATTTATTCTAAGCTGGCGGTTAAAAGTGTAAGATTTGATTACATGGTTTACCTAAGCCGACGGTTTATTAAAATGGCAAATGGCTCTAAGCCGGTGGTTATGACTACCGGCTCAATAACTAGGCCGGCAATCAGGCTGTCGTCCAACATATCCTGCCCCGGTGGTTTGGACTGCCACCATACATTCTATAGGCTGACGGTTCTATAAACACTGCCAGCTTACTACATATTCTTCTTGACAAATGCTACATTTCCAATTTGTTTCAGTGGGAATATGTGATTGCAGATCCTCCATAAAGGAGTGCTTAACTTTTCTGAGGCAATGGAATATCTCATCCTCTCTTAAACTAGTATTTACATATCCAATTTTTATTAGAGGAAAGATTTCAGTAAATATTTTCTATATATTTTCATATATTCTGTAATCAATTGTAATCCCTTGTAATTAGTTGTAATCCCTTAACTTTAGGTAATCTTCCCATTATCTTTGTAATTTTGGGTAACTAACCAATACCCATTCCCATGTATATATTTCTAACCTAATCAAAGAGAAAGTCGAGCCATTATTTCTTCCTCTCTGTATTCTCAATCTCAACATGGTATCAAGAGCCTAACTCCATCCTTGGGCCATCTCCCTTCTTTTTTTTTAGAAAACCTTGCCTTCATCATTTTTCTTTCTTTAATGGCATACGACATGTTTTCTTCCTTCACCAATGATCCCATCACCATCCAAAACACTCAAGATCCTCAACATCCCTTGCTCACCATCAATCTTTCCAACATCACCAAACTTTCTTCTACAAATTACCTCACATGGAGTCTTCAAATTCAATCCCTTCTACAGGGGTATGATCTTCATCACTTTATCGATGGCTCGCAACCGATTCCACTGCCTACCATCACCGTCAATGATGTTTCAACCCCAAATCCAGCACATACCACTTGGAAATGTCAAGATCAATTAATCTTTGGTGCTATTTGTTCCCCTGCAACCACTCATTGCCTGAACCACTACATCACGTGAAGCATGGACTACCTTGGCCACCACATATGCAACACCATCTCGTGGCCACATCAAACAATTAAAGGAACAATTGAAAAGATGCACCAAGGGCTCCAAATCCATTAATGAATATATGCAGGCTATCAAGACTCGATCCGATGAACTTGCTTTACTCGGTAAACCGCTTGATGACGAGGACCTTGTTGATCGGGTTCTTGAAGAACTAGGTGATGAATACAAGTCCATTACAGATGCTGTCAATCCACGTGAGACTCCTATCTCCTTTGCCGAACTCCACGAAAAACTACTCAATAAGGAAGCCTCTCTTCAGTCCCAGCAATCTGCTTCTTTTTCCCTTTCGGTAACGACAAATCCAATGGCACAGAGGAATCGTCACAATTGGTGCCCCAACTCGTCATATTCCGGTTCCCCACAACATTCCACCACCACTGATCAACGCCAACCCAAGCCTTATCTTGGTCGTTATAAAGCCTGTGGTGTTCAAGGACACACTGCCAAGCACTGCCCCATGTTTCGGCTCGTATCTCATCAACCATCACCGGCTCCCCATCCACAAGGCCACCAAGGACCTCACCCATCCACT